TGCTTAATGGCTTAGTTAGAAAACAAGAAGTACATATATTTCTAACATATACACATATTTGTTTATGTGTATAAATGCATCCTTTATATCACTGTATCATAACTACTGTTATTGTGTAAATGTGTTCTACTCAGCCCTCACCCTGACAAGAATCAGCTTGTACAAGCAGAGGTGATAACATGTGCAAAGACGCGTGGGTTCGTTGACTCCCAACGTAAAATTGCTGTTTACATGGATACTGTTGGTATATCCAATGCCTAGATACACTGTTTTTTGGAACTTGTTGATTATTGTGGCTGTTGCACAATCTCATTCAAATGTGGTCTTTATTCAAAAGCAGTCAAACAGAAAGCGGGGCAGAAAGAGAGGGAGCAGGTCTATAAATTGGAAATGAACCTGGCATACTGCAGCCGTAAAAATTTAAATGTAAATTCATTATAATGATAGAAAATTATAGTTTCAGTTTCAGGCATGATAGTACTGTGATAGTAGGTGCCAGTGTACAATTGCAAACCATTTAACCTGAATGCTTAGCAGAACTTGACAATGCATAGCAAATCATTCAGTAAAAAGCACCTTAAAGATTCAACACGGTGACTTAACAGAATGACTGAACTGGGACTGCAAAATAATTATATAATGTGATGTGAGGAGTCACAGAAAAAAAGGACCTTTTATTACTGTACCTGTACTGTGTTCAGAAAGCCACGATAACCCAGAAAGGCAGCAGAGTCTTAATTTAGAAAAAAACAGCCAAATTAAAACTGTAGATTGTCAAGTACACAAAACGAAGGTCTTTTAAATGCAGATGACACACTGAATCTGTCGTTAACGATGACAAGCTCTTTCGTATGAAACATGCTTGTAATAACACCTTGCCAAACAGCTCTGACCTATACGTTCTCATAAACATTCCTGTGGTCTCCAAGTGAAATACTTTTAAAGCACGTCAAACAGTATAATTTAAGTGTTCTGTCACCCTGCTAATAATAGTGTGGCCAATTATCAATGTTTTTTTTTTATCTCAAAAAGGTATGCAGACAAACTTGTGGTAGAGAAAAAAATGTGATAACTCATTTAGAGAGCTGTGTGCTTCCTGTTCCACTTTCAAGTGTGCTTAGCTGTGTAAGGTGCCTCTAATGTCCTAAGACGGCCCTGCCTAATACTTGCTTTCTGACTAGTAATTGGAATGACATAATGCTGGAAAATAGTTATTCAGTGATTTCAAATATTTAGATTACAGGAAGATTTCCCAGGAAGAACATTTATGTCTTTTTTTTTAAACCGAACTTTCAGTTCCATAATTCAATTGTGCAGAGTTCGCGTTTCTAGTTCTCTATAAAGTAACTTGATTATTTCAAGCAAGTTTCCACACATCAACCTCCTCTTGATGCACACTAATGAAGATTTGGTCGTGTCTTTGGGAGCATCCAACTTTAGGTTTTTACACACGCATATAAATGTGAGAGATTTTCTTCTAAATATTTCTGATATTCTTCTCATAATGTCTATGAATACATCTCTCGTTACATAATTGGCTGAACACAATCTACAGTATAAATCGGCCCAATGTCAGGCTTAATATTTGAAAAGGCTGCATTTCTAAGACATGGGGAAAGTTTTCTTTTAATGAGGCCCCCATTTGCGTAATATCAGAGTTCTACTGAACAAAAATCCATTACAATGGAAAGGCAGAGGGATTTCTCAACCTTCCTTCCTTCCATTTCATAATTACATAACAAGCGGAGGGCATAGTTACCTGGAAAAAAAGTAGCTATCATCTTTCAGTAAACTCATGCTTTGTGGGAAATGGTTAAATTAATTTAAAGAGTGCTTGGCAGCTACCTACTTTAGAAGAGGATTCTCAGCTTTTTAGTCGATCATGAGAGTGGGATTTTTGTGTCTTCTTTGCTTCCTATGTATGCATGTCTATGTAATTTATATTTATTCAAACCTAATTTGTCATTTATGAAATAAATAAAACATGCATCCATTTTTGAATGCACATGCGCTAAACTGGTGTACAGTTAAAGTCTTTAGTTCTGATCTTGCTGTAGGAGTTTCTAGAGTAAAATAAAAAGAGTGTTAAGAAATACAGAAAATTTGGATTTCCCAGCTGGGAAAGGCAAGTTCTGCACTTTATTGTTCTTGGTTGATCTAGATGTTTTTAAAGTACAGTAGCTAATCTTAGGAATGGTAAAGCCTTTGGTATTATGTTGAATATCAGCACTTTTATTGAAAGCTTAAGTCATTTGGATAATTGTTAGAGTACTCCAAACGACATACAGCAAGGACATTCAGTCCCATCCCTCAGGCCAATGACAACATGCAAGCTTTTTCATGCTATGGAACTGCTTCTAGTCTTTCACTACTAGCCCTTCAGCATCCAGTACATCTGTCTGGGCAAGTTCAAGTACTATAGTCCCTAGGTATATGAAAGGGAAGCAGCTATGGAATTTATCAGTGACCTCATACTAGCTTCACATGGTCACAGTATTCACCCAGCTTATGCGTTTTTTCACTGCTGGTATTTGATTGCAGTTGAGTGTTGTGTTTATAATGGAAATAACAAATAGACAGAAAATATAACGATGGAAAATCCTGATTTAGAATCATATATAAACAAAAAGCATGAACAGTGGGTGGTTCGGTTCCATGATAATCCTATCTTAGTGTGAATATATGATGATGTTTATATGATAATTGTGCAATAATGATATAATCACTTTTGAAAAACACTGCTTTGTTATATGTCAGAAGTGTAGCTGCAGTTGCTTTGATGAGGTTGTCGACAACCTGACTGATTCATTTCTTACATTCCATTGCATAATGTGATTGTGGGGAGATTTTTTCTCAGGATTGGTTGTCCTCTAGTGGGCGGTCGCTGATTCCCCATTTGAAAGGTAACCTGTTGCCCTCAGATGGGGTGTGGTGTTCATTTTCGTGTTAGTGTTTCTCCCAATCCCGGATGTACATACATCAATGGCTTGTGTCAGGAATGATATTAACTTCTGCCAAAAACCTGTCATGTGATTTAAGGCTGACAGGGCGTGATGACCTCGACATGAAAAGGTGGTAGTAACATCTTGTGACCAGTTGTATGAGCTAAAAGTCATTAGAATAAGAGAAGATTTACTAAAATGGGTTAAACTGCAACAATGAGGTTACAAGTGAAAAGTTCTTTCTATTCAAATAAGAAATCAATGCATCCTCTTGTCACCATGGTTTGCATCACTAACACAGCAAACAGCTGTTAATTTATAAAAAGCTAAATAGAACTAAAGATTTAAGATGACAAAAAATATATATGCATAAGATTGAATTATTCCCATTGTGGTTTCAGGACTTGAATGAGAAGCAAAGAGCTTATAAGTAGAAACCTCTCCATATTGACAATTCTGAGTGGCTTAAAATAGTTTAAACTAAACCTCGGAAAGAAATACACAGCGGTAAATTCACAAGGTAAAATTTAAATTGTGTACTGTGAGATTTGGATCATTCAGAGTGTTTACTTCTCACTGTGTATTCAGATTTTCATTTCTTTTCAAAGCATGGAAAGAACGGATGTTTCATTTCTACATCACAGTTTTCTTTCTAGATCCAAACTAAACATAAACAACTCAAACAGAGTAGTTTTGGAAATGACTTGCTTACCAGGATGTGATGCTTTTCTGGATCCTGAGCTTGATACTTATTTGGAATGAGTCACACAAACCAAACGAGATTTCTTCAACAACATAACTCACCTGCAAATATGTGTCGGATTTTGTAATTTTACTCTGAATAAGACAATCTTTTGTAGGATCAGAACAGGTTCAACAAGTCAGTTGTGCAATTTCATCTGCAACACAGCTAAACAGGTAGTGATACTGCCCAAAGGGGGAACTGTATATTTTGCTTTTAAGGATCCCTTTTTAAGCCATAACTGTTCTTTCACTTTCCCTCAAAGTCCCTAAAGTGAAGTAACACTTTAAATAATCCAAATTCTACAGAATCTTGTCTAAACCAAAAATGTCAAAGACTGCTTGATAAAAGCAAAAAGGTGATATATACTTTTATATACAGCGCAGTAAGAACAAAGAAACTCACAAAATGACAAAGCACATAAAAAATTTATAAAAGTTCAAAGGTTATGTTTATCGGTTTTAATACCATAAATAAATGTCAAGTGCAATTTGCATTGTTCTTAATGCAGTGTTTTTCATTGCAAGATAGCACAGAATCTTTTGAAAAACAGCAAATTTGAAAAGTTTTTAGGATTAAATGTAAAAAAATATATATTTAAAAAATATTAATTGTAAATACTTCAGGTAAAAAATTACTACATGCAAAGAATGGGTCTGAAACTGTTAGATTTGGTTTATTGAGGAGTTATCTGTAAGAACAGTAATTAAAAGATTACAAATGATCTTGAGTCTATCAAAAACAGCATAATCAGGGATGGCAACAATGTTGTAATGTCCACTTAATTTTCTTCATAAAGGTCAGAGTTAATTGAGTATATACACACAGTTCTTAAAGTTGTCAGTTTTTAAAGTTGTGCTTAAAATAGGACAGTATCATGGTTGCCTTCAAATTTGAAATCCAATATTGTATTGAATGCATACACAATGGATACATCAAAGACGTTTCAGAAAAAACCCCTACAGAAAATTAAACTGAGACCAGTGCAATCCACTGTGCACAGTTGAGACAAGGAGACATCAAACTTAAATTTAATAAGGAACACTGAATATAACCACTTAGCCTATTTAAATAATTACTACAGAAACCAAATTTGTATTTCAAAAGAAAGTTTACTTTGTAAAAAAACAAAAGCCTTAAATAAAATCTGTTTTCTACTTTCGCCAGTACATTATCAGAGGTAATAATTTTTCTATTTTACCCATTTCACTAGAAAGTGTTCTAGAACACTTATCTTTATCTCTCACAACATGTTAAGCTTTGGCACCAAATCCTGTTTGATTTGTCTTCTTATTTCAGTGTGGGACCATTATGACTGCTGAATGAGAAGAGTTACTGAATGTATATACCTTCACCTCAAACCTCTGCTCTTTAAGGGGAGCAAGGCTTCTTCTTTTTTGATACCTCTGTCTTGCCAACAGGAAATGGCTTCCAAAAACAAAATTGGATACAAGTGTCGCATAGGAGGTGTTCTGCTTCTCCTCTTGGGCAGTATTGCTGCCCTTGTTGCGGTTGCGGTCATCCAGGACTCTTGGATGTCCAAAGAGTACAGCAAAGAGGTGAACACACACACAAGCATGCTTGGTAATCCAAAGTGGATTTTGACATGAGATCCGGTTGAACAACTTCTGTATGTTCAAAAAGTGAAACCTTTCTTTGTGGTATCGGGTCTTTTCAGAACAATGCAATTCATTAAATAAAGTAAAGAGTGCGATCAGAACAATGAAACAAAAATGGTGAGACATATGCGTCCTTCCTTCTCTGTTTCAGTATGGGATAGTGATAGATGCGGGTTCTTCACGTTCCAATGTGTATCTGTATGAATGGCCAGGAGAGAAGAAGAATGACACAGGAATAGTGACTCAAAACATGAACTGCAAAGTAGAAGGTGAGTAGGCTTCTTGATAAATTGTAAAGAAATTCCTGTAGAAGTAAATCAAAACTACTTAAAACTACTGTTGTACTAATATGAATGCACAGGCCTTCATTTCAGCCTCCCTTTTTCGCTTCAGGACCTCCTATCTCAGAGATTAAAGATGACCCAGAGAAACTTAGAAAGACGATGAAAGGATTCCAAGTATGTATGGATAACATAACCATGCGCATTCCTGCTGAAAAGCACAAAACAACACCTCTGTTTTTGGGAGCAACTGCTGGAATGCGACTTCTCCAGTAAGAAAAAAACCTTTTGAAGTCTCAAAGAAATACAATCAAACATGTCAACCCTATGGCTAATATTCTTTTTTATATTTACTTGGACTAAAAGTGTGTATCCTTTACAATCAAGTTAGACAAAAAAGTTAGTTTTTGATACCATAAGATAAAAGCAGTAAATTACATCAATGTTAAACTTATTGATGAGGTCTGCTGAAATCTTCTTGTGAATAAACAGAGAAAATCTTGATTAATTAAATTAAATAGACACAAATATAGGAAAGCGCCTCTATGGAGGTCCATGAGGGTCTACCACACTGGTCAGTGGCTGGCTTTCACTGGTTGATAAGTTAGCCTTGGTTTATTCACAAATCCCTGAGTCACCGGGAATCCCCAGTTGTGAAAACATGTTTAGACTGCAGGCTGGGGCAAATTTCATTAGTTCATTTGGTGGAAAAGCAATGCTGAGAAGTCCAAATGAGGGATCTGCTCACAGTGGAAGATAGGTACATTGGGGCTTTTAAGCTTTGGGTGTCATAGGATGTCCCTTCTCTTTGGTGTCGAGCTGCTTTCAGTAACCCTGGAGAATATTTTTGCTCACAGAATAGAGAAAAAAGGTATGAGCAGAACTAATTTGAGAAGTTTCTATTAGATACAAATATGAAAAAATGGAAAATCCATCCATCTCTCCATTGTTTATACAGCTTATTCCTAGAAAGTCTCATTCTGTCAGTAATCTCAATAAGACTTTAAGAGCTTCTTTTTTATTTTGTCCCTTTTTGGAGTACAGAGATTGAAAATAAAAAAAGGTTGACCTATGACCATTAGTACTTTTGTTCTTTGGACTGAGAAGGACCAACAGTTTGCTCTTGGTTTCACTTGCCTGGCTTGCTCCAGGTGATTATTTGGCACATAGACATTGGTTGTGACCCTTATCTTATCCAAGTATCACACTATAAGCCAATATGTGTGAATGAACAAAACAGCAAATCATTTATATAATGTCAGTGCCCCTATTGTTGTCCCTGGTGTACTCTTTTGTCTTTAACCCCTCTCCTTCTCTGCACTCTTTTTAAGTGAAATAGATGAACAGAAGTCCAACGAAGTCTTGGCAAGTCTCAGAAAATATCTGAGTTCACTACCTTTCAGCTTCCAAAATGCCTCCATCATTACTGGTCAAGAAGAAGGGCTGTACGGGTGGATCACAGTCAATTACTTGATGGGAAATTTCTTGCATGTAAGAAATCAGCTCAAACTGTTTACTTTTTCTTTATGAAGGTGAAAATAATGTTAAAAATAAGCATCTGCTGCCTCGTGCACACAGGACAGACCACATGTTTTGTAGTTAACAGCTAATAATCTTTCTTGATTGTATTTGTAGGGAAACATGTGGAACAGTTTTTTGCATCCAATGGGTTCAAAGACAGTTGGTTCCATGGACCTCGGTGGGGCATCAACACAGATTGCCTTTGCCGTTCAGGAACTTGGCAATGGGTCTGATTACATGCGAGTGAAGCTGTACGGTTACCCCTACAATGTCTACACGCACAGCTTCCTCTGCTATGGAAAGAATGAAGCTGAAAAAAGGGTTCTGGATAAAGTTGTACAGGTAAAAAACTTCGTTTTGCAGCTGCCATGAGGGTCATACCTTTTCTGCACTGTTTTTCCCAAATAAGACAGAGAAAAGCAGGAAGAAAACACGATAGTGAGGTTAAACCGACTATTTGGTGGTAAAATACTCTGTGGGAAAAAGAAAAAATACAACAAAAGAATTCTTAATTAAACCAAAACTGAGAGAATCATGTTCATAAACATGGTGCTTCCACAAGAAAAGAAGGACCGTGCATCCAAAAACCATTATCCATTAATGCTCTGCATGAATTGATTAGTGAATACTGCTGCCACTAACTGGCAAAAGGAGACCAGTCAAGAATGCATTATGTCATTAAAGATATTGATTGAACAATGAATGTCATCACACTAGCCAGCAATAAATGCATTATTTCTGGTAACTCACAGCTTCGTTCTTGATACTAATGGCAATGCTAGAGGAAGAAATGTGCCCTGTTGTTAGAATAAGTAATGGGTGTAAGGTTGCTGTTCTCTGCTGGTACAAAACGCTAACTTGCAGCACAGTAAAGCTGATGATATGTCCGTGAGTGCAGATACGACCCAGTCCAAACTTTCTGTCTTATTTCACCTACCCTGCATTTACTTGAGTGTTGTTTTGAAATCTTATTGTACATTATTAATAATTGTTTACATTTTCTCTACTTCATGTTCCAGCAATCATCTGACCCAACTTACATAATAAACCCCTGTTATCCAGAGGGTTTCAACTCAACTGTGAAAGCTTCAACGATTTACGACACGGAGTGCACAAAGAAACCCCGAATATACAACCCAGATCAGGAGTTCTTCATGGTTGGAGGTGCAGATTCAGAAAAATGTGGGACGTTAGTAAAGTCCATATTCGATTTCAAAACCTGTTCTGCGCCACAGTGCTCCTTCAATGGCATCGAACAGCCACCTGTCACTGGAGAATTTATGGTAAATATATTGTGCAGACATCATGGGAGCAAGTGAACTGTTGAAGATATAGAAAAACAACTGAATGATTGTCTCTGGTGTTTGTTTTAGGCATATGCTGGGTTTTTCTACATCGCCAGGGCTCTGCTGCTGAATGGGACCTCAGATCTTGATCAGTTCAATGTGTCTGTTGGGAACTTCTGCCATACACACTTTTCAGAGGTAAGTCCTCCACACTGATGTAAAGCTTCAGTAATCAGACATTCAGAGTGAATTAAAGTTGGCCAAACAAAAAGAGCAAAACATGAAAACATTGCAAATATGTATTGAAGATGTCACAAAACATACAAACTATTCTACTCAACAGGATTGCTGCAAAGGGAAAATGGTGAATGACTAGAACAGAGCTGATGTGTGGTGGGATTGTCTTTTCTTGCAGAGCTGCAGGCATGCAGCTGGGCTAATTTACTGCCTTCTGTTATAACTGATGGGTTTTTGTCTTATTTCACTGTACCTTTTGACATGTTATGTTCAAAACATGTTGATTACATACACATATATCCATATGTGTATGTAATCACACAATGTGTTTATGGAGACACATTCCTTTGGGCTAAACTCTTTTTTCAACAGTTCAATATCATTGTATCTTGGAAAAGAATCTGGATGGATTAAGTTTTCTTGAGTATGGAATTGGATCGTATTTAAAGAATGATTATTGTTCGCTATAACAACTTTAATTGAACTCTGATTTTCCCTTTACCTTACAGCTGAAAAAACAAAAACCTTGGATCAGTGAAAAATATCTGAAGACTTACTGCTATGCGACACACTACGTCCTCACCCTCCTGACAGACGGCTATAAGTTTGATAAAGAAACCTGGAAAAATATACACTTTGAAAAGGAGGTTAGTGAAAGAAAAAAAAAGTTTCAAAAAGTTCTCTATTTCACAACTGTCTTGTATATAACTATGAACTTGCATGACAAACAAAAGATCTACTTTACATTTATATTTTTGTCATGTACAGACAGGTAATCATTTATGTGACTTGGCAAAATTTGCTTCTTAAAAGACAAAAATGACATCATGAACTGTCTCTTAGCCCTAGTTTGCGATTGGTGACAGACAGACTGACATTTACTCGCTTTCATAACCGTAATGAGTGTGAATGGGGCCACCCAACAAGGACAAAAATGGACAACTGACACACAAATCATCTGCTGTCATGTACTTAAAGCCATAGATGAAGAAGTGTATTTTTGCACAAAGGGGGTCTCTCAGCTGAAAGGGAATTTTTAGTTTGTAATTTAAGAGTTATGACTCATACAGAAAGATAGTGGCTCTTGAGAAGTCAGATGTTAAAGTTGCAGTTTCCAAATAGCGTAGCCTTGTCTCCCTAATGACATAAAGCTTGGCATTCATAAACAAAACAAGACTGGCTCTCATCAGTCTAGCCTTCACCTTATCCCCGACAAGGCACTTACTGTACTTTCTGAGCAGCTTAGAGCCTTCAGGGTGTCAGAGAGTGTTGCAGTCGCTCCTTGTGGAGGAACTCACAGAACGGCCTATCTGGGATTTCTTTCCATGGACGTTATGACTCATACTTTGTCTTTGAGCTTTTAGTGTACGATTTCATAACAGAGCCCTTTGACGGGGAGAGCTTCCTTGGACGTGCTAAATGATTTGTTGGTGCATGTTCTTGCATGCAAAACAAAGAAACCCCAGTACAGAGTGTGATTTTTTTTCTGTCCTCTTTAGGTACAGTCAACCGGAATTGGTTGGAGTTTGGGCTACATGCTGAGTATGTCCAATATGATCCCATCTGAAGTGAAAGAAATCCCTCCGTTGACAAAGGCAGCCTACGCTGGCCTCATCTTTCTATTTTCAGCATTACTCATTGTGACTGCTGTTGTGGTGTTTATATTCCTCGTTCGCACCTGCTACTGAGAAAGTAAGAGGAAAAAGGGATTTCAGCTGGAATTTTCTATATCTGTGTTGCAGCTGCATGTGTAGTAATGGTTATAAATCAAAATGTCTTGTTTTGAAAAGTGATTGTAAGAGGCAGGAGTCACACGAACACGATGCAGTGGTGGATGGGCCTCATATTTAGGATTGCAGCCTAAGTGTACTTGAAGTTGAAATGGAAAAAAGTTAAATTAAATTAACCACTCGGCAGTGCAGTAGACACCCACTTCAAAGTAAATGGCTATATGTTAACCATATTCCCATGTATACATTCTGCCCAAATGCCTCCCATACATTGTGTTGGCAACATTGAGACTTAAATCAACCCTCAGGCACTGGATAGTAAAGAGCTGGAAACAAAACCATTTTTCATTTGTTGAATATACATATCATATAGGTCAACTGTGACTTGGATATTGTTGTAAGACTGGGTCTAAAGAACAGAAGCATTTTATAGCGAAGCTGAAAGGTTTTACTGAAGACTGTCTTTGCAAGTACTTGACTTTTGACAGAACAAAGGCACACGGTGATGATGGATACACAAATAACTCTTGTGGTCTCCAGTTGCAGACTGCATAATATCCAGGTTCTTAGATTAGATTTATCTGTAAATGTGATTTAACATGTGCATTCACAGATGGATGTTAACCTGGAACTTTAGGCAAAGGCTTGAACTATCTACTCACCTAATAGTTGCATTTATCCCTTTAATTGCACTTAATGCATCTGCTGTACATACTAAATTGTGGCATGGTGTGCAGTACCAATGTAACACTTTATGTGTCCAGTGTGTCAACTGTGCCATTTTATTCCATCCTGATTTCCCAACTACCTGTTAGTCAGAATATCACAAAAATGACTATATAGTCATTGTTTTTATTTACATGAGCAGGAGTTTCTTGAGTTGCTTCAGAACTGGTTAGTTTTTCTTTCAGAACAGTTGGGTTTCAGTTTATTTCCTATCAGGTAGTGAAAAGACAGTTTGCATGCAGGGTGGAGGAAACTACACCAGATTAGTTAGTGATGGTGTGAAGTCTTGGTAATGATGACAGGTCTCACAGTGCAGACAGTACAGTTTATGTTTAATGTGAAGATGTCTTACTTTCTAAACAGGTAGCTATAGATGAGAGACTTGTTTCTACCATTAATCCTCCTAACTTTTTATTCTTTAAATTGACCTCGTGTCCAAAAGGGGCCTAGGTCTTATAGTAATAGAAATCCTGTAATGTAAACCACAGAAAACACCTGGGAGGAAGGTGCCGTTGGCACCCATTATTAAAAGGATTCTTTAAAGACCTAATCCAAATTTTTCGTTTGCACCAAACACTCCCATAAACATTGATTTTAAGTGAGTGAGCATCATGGGAAGCTTTATATCCTTACAGTCTGTGGGCAAAGCAAATGTGTTTGGCATTCACTCTATCAATCTGTTAGCCATGATGCTGGACAGGACAGGGTAAAGAAAAAAACAATCTAGAAGTTATTTGTGAAACACTCATTATAGAAAAACATGTTGAAAGAAATAGGCTTAGAGATTGTTTCGTTTTACTGAACTGGCCTGCTATGCTAATGTTTTAAATGTAATTTCCTTCTGAAAAGGCAAAGAAATTATCAATAATTTCACCATATCGCAAAGCAAGACCTACTAATGTAGCATTCCAACTTTTTTATTAACAACAACATGGATTCAAGCATTTGTCTTTCAAAATTTTGAATAAGTTGCACTATAATTTCTGATGTTTGATTATAATTGTTTCCCCAATGCAAAAGGTTGTGCATGTTTGTAATTTAATGGATGGTAATGTCTGCTTTAGTAGTGCTGGTAATGTCCAATGTTATAATGATTATCTCTAAACTCAATACTAATAAACTGATCCTCTAACTGCATCTTTGGTGCTTTTGGCTTAATAAATGGGCTCAGTGTTGACTTCACCAGAGCTCAGCTCAGTTACTTCATTGAACACAAAACACATTCTGAGGGAACACTTCTTAGCTCCATCTGGTGAAGGATGTCAGGCGATATCAAAGAGCATGTGTGATTACATTTCAAATCTAAATGATTGATTGGTTGGTGCTTCTCTAACCCTCACATGCACGCAGCACAATGCTGCCCTCTAGTGGCTATGCATCGCATCTGTAAACTTACAGATTGTATTGACATTTAGATTTTTATTTTTTTTATTGAAAGTTTTGTTTAAAAATAAAATAAAGGAAACAAACAGAAAGACACATCTGAAACGACAGCAATACCCACTGGTTCTACAGACACACTCTCAAAATCACAACTTGAAAGACATGGGAGCCATGTGACCGAGCAAATAAAAAAATAGCATCATCAAAGTTATTTCTGTTGCATCTTCTTTTACACAGCTGTACAAAAAAAGAGCTCATAAATATTACTTTTTGTTCTCACTTTCTCTACTTTCTCGCTCCCTTTGTAAGTTTATTTTCCATGAAAGGTTCGTATCTGTGATTTTTTCTGCATCTTGTCCTGTGTTTCCTTTTGCTTTAGAACCAATGTGAGTCCACATAGTGTTAATTTTCAAAAATGTTTTTTCTTTATTTTTTTTATTGTCGTGGACCCATATTCTAAACTGATTTTAAAATCTGTAAATCTTAAATCTTCTGGTTTAGGATGGTAAGTTAGTTCCCTCCGGGAGGAGCGCCCCTTCCACAGACAACCATTCAAAAGAAGCCTCATTCCCCAGTTCTGAAGTGTGTAGCACAGGGGGGGGGGCAACCCCGGGCCTCGAGAGCCACTGTCCTGCAGGTTTTAGAGGTTTCCCAGCTTCTGCACACCTGATTCAGATCAAACTGATCTCTTCTAAAGGCGCTTCAGCTCTGAACAGGACTGCTGATGTGAATCAGGTGTGTAGAAGCAGGGAAACCTCTAAAACCTGCAGGACGGTGGCTCTCGAGGCCCAAAGTTGCCCACCCCTGGTGTAGCAGCTCAAACATTATTATCACTTGTGATCTCATTAAAGAAGAGGAAAAAAGGGAATACAAAAGAAAAAAAGACAGCTAAATCCTCCCTTTTTAGGACAAAAAAACCCCCACAAAATGAAATGAGTTTGTTAACAGGAATGCCCTTTACTGTGACAGAGTGGTCACATTTTAAGCGTCTTCTGTTTGCTGACATAAAACTGTGGTGTGATGGACTATGCTTTTAAAAGAGTAGGAATTTTACCATTTAGCTTTTTAGGAATCATATACTTTAAGTTGGAGCAATTCAGTGTTGATATTAATGTAACCTAGGAAAATTTTCTGTTTAATCTAGAATCATTCTAGCATTTGACAGCATCACAAACAGATCAGCTTATTTGATCGAGGCGTTTATGCTAAAGGCCAACTGCATTTATCCACTGACTGATAAAATCATGTTACAAACCATGGACATGATCTCAAGTAAAAAATAAGTGAAAGACTTAAAAAAAAAAACAATAAGCAACACAAGGAAGATTTCTTCACTTCATAGTTTTTTTTATCTTTGGTATAAAATATGCCATCTGTAGGCGGCGTTTGTTCAACAGTTAAGAAAGACTCAAGAAACTGTCAACAGTTCTACTCAAACTATTGCTTTTTGCACATTTAAAAATCCTAGCTTTGTGTATTTTTTTTTTTCTGACAAAGTCAGATTTTTTTAAGCTTTTCTTAATGCAGTTAGACAAGCAAAGCACGCAAAGAAAAATCCTTAGAATAAAAAAAACTGCAACCGAAGACCAGAAGACGGAGATATATAAAATGTGGCTGAGAAACAAAGTTTTTACCCCACAACTAAACCAAACTGCATTTTCCAGGAAGCAGTAGACTGACTCCTTCCACAAGTCACATTAAAGATTTTTTTTCATCTAATCAACCAACATCACCTGCACTTCACATAATGCAAACTCATCTTCATACAAATACAACCTATTGGTTAAAATCCTGTACAGATAGCTTTGTAGATTTAATCTCTGAAGCCCTCAGAAAATCTCAAATCATTCAACAAGTCTTATTGTCTCTAAAGAATATACTACTTTGGAAACTTTTTCCCAAAGTCTGAGAAAAATAAGGCAATAAAGATTTAGGAAAAACATTGATATTCTAGAAAACTACTCAAATAACAAAAAGAATGAAAATAATGTAGCTTCATATCAAAGGAAGACAGCCTGTTTTCTCCTAGACTTTTCTTCCTTCTTTTTTTTTTATTTATAAAAAAGTCAGAAAATCTACCTGCACATTCAAATGGTTTTTTTTTCTGTACAATTGGTTGAGATTTAGTTTCAGTCTTTGTTTTTTCTTTTTTTCCTTTGGATGCAAAGTCCAGTCTCAAGGTGAAAAATAATAAAATCATAGTTGAGGACTTGGATTGATTTCATTGTCCTCTAGTTCAGGAAACAATGATTTGTCTTTTTCTTGCTTCAACCAGGTATGAAGGATAATTGATTTTTTTCTTCAATTTGTCTTTTATGTGTGTTGGTGTCTGTGCACAGTGGAAGCATTCTCCCCTCGGCGTTGTCATCACTTCTTTTTTTTTTCTGTCCTCTGTCATTTCGGTTCTCACTGTGTCTCCAGCCCCATCGTGCAATCCTTCTGAAGGCAATGCAGCAATGATTCCTACCAGTCTTGTTATCTAGAGGGGAATGAAGATTTAGTGAAAAAATGGGGGAGGGAAGTAAACCTGCATCCTGTTCTTGCAAAAAAAAATAACAGCATATGTAATTTACAACCACTACTATGTGAAAAATAAAACATCTTGGATGCAGATAAAACAAAAGACATGAAGTTTATAAGAAACTTGCAGAGGAAAATTATATAACTCTATGACCAAAACACTGTAAAACACAACACATTCATATACACAAACAACTTCACAAAAAAACATTAATATTGTATTGTACATATTAAATATGACATCATGGACTGCAAAAATGGTGACTGTGTTCCAATGAATATGGACTAAGTGTAGACCATATAGAAATGGTCATTATCTTTATCCCACTCACTTGGTTTGCTGGTAGGAGTAGGCCGTGGCGTGATCTCCTGTGCTCTCCACTGATAGAGGCTGCTGGCCACTGGCATCCTGTGAGGAGGGGGCAGTTGTCTGTGGAGAAGGGTCTGTCACCACACCCTGACCACACACAGTCAGACATTAAAATTCCACTAAGAGGAACAAAAAGGTTTTATATTAGACCTTGCAGTCACTGATAAGTAGGCCATGACATGTTGATGCAATCAGGCAGTGAGAAGCATTCTAGAAAAACACCTCCAAAAGTAAAGCCCTGAGACACTCTGAACGAAAACTAAACTTAGAGGCACATTTTGAATCCAAAAGGTTAGATGCATTAAGGAATTGTCAGCATTCACATCAAATTTATAACACAAAATTGCAACCAAATCTCAAGAAAGAACCAGTCAAAATTATTTTGTCAACATGAAAAAAATACTGTGAAGTCAAAAGAATGGCTCAAAAGTTTTGCCACTGATTTTTTAAAATGTCCCTCTCATTCATGAACGGTTGGGGTTAGTTGTATATTTTACTATTCAAGGTAGCAAGGAGGAAGCCGCTAATGACAGATTTTGAATATGTAGCATCATGTCAAACTGGGGATTGCTACTACGTCTGTAAACAGATAGCTACGATTTGTATAAGAACATTTTACGTTTGTTACATATGAAGCTGTTTGAATGAGATTCTGAACTAGCACTTTGTGCGGCACGCTGAGATGTTCTCAGTTTGCAAAGTTCTGCTTGAATAAAATGTTATAATAATGTTACAATAATCTCTTGCCTCCAGAGAAACATTTATCTCTCATTGAAAATGAAAATTTCCACCCCGTGTGTTTTGTAACAAATTTCTTTATGAGACTTGGCTATTATTTGGCCTATGATTTGTGTTTTTGCAATAATATCATGAATCAAAAATCAAACCCATGAAATCAAACCCAGTGATTGATAGTGCATGACTAGTTAAATCCACAGCTTGCTTTTGTTCTTACATCCACTGTGATGGCAGAGGCAGGCACTGCAGTGTACTGGGGAATGTAGGTTCCTTGCATAGGAGCAGCCGCTGCAGCAGACATGTACTGCAGAGACAGGGAGGGGGGGGGGGAATTTAATATAGGCACAAGAAATATGTCCTTGAAAGTCTTTGACTTAAGAGTACTTTCTAAGAGAAGCATGCCGTCACCACTTTATCAGCAAAACTCAAATTCAACATTAATATGCATATATCTGTGTGATCTTCATAGTTCAAAAAAGAAAACATGTGTTCCTCATAGCTCCTAATACTTCAAACTGTTTGGCTGTGCCCGAAGGCCCTGATGGATTTCCCACTACAGACAGAAAAGAGTCATTTGTAAGTCTGTAGACTTAATGAGGAAATCTGCAAAATAAATCATTGCTGGGTAATAACCTAGAATACAATGTAAAGAAAAAAAGACGTGTTCTTGCAGCTGAAAGAGGGTAAAGGTGATCCTTACTGCGCTGCTAGGACCCAGGGAAAGGTGGTTCATCTGCTGGGTGAGAGGATTCATCACACTGGACGGGTGAAGGGACAAGCTGGGCTCTATGGCCGCGGCTGGAGTGATCACAGCACCCTAAAGCCAGAGATGGAGGAAGAGTAGCCAGTTACACTCCTGCAGGTACAGTATGTAAGAGTTGTTGTTTTTTCTCATTGGTTGATCAAGGGCAACAACTAGTGGAGTAAGAAAGACCAAATAAAGACAAATAATAATATAAACAAATAAAACTCTGACTGTCTATCATGGAAGGCAGTGAAATAATGTGGGAGAGAATAGACGTGAGGATGAAGAGACAAAGCTGATGAAGACGCACTGACCTTTAGCTAACAGTTAAATCTTAAATGGAGCCTTCATGAACAAAGAGATTTGCAAGTCAAAGCTGAGCTGAAGGTGGAAGGGAAAGAAGTCTGTGGTTGACATTTTGGGATACCATATTCACAATATTGTAATTCAAATGAAAAAGTCTCTGTTAAAAAGCGAGGATACGGTTCGTGTTCCTGAAAATAAAGACTGTAATCAAACTACAAACAGCGAGCTTTTATCCTTATGGGTAGTAAACCAACCCCCCAACCAAACCCCAACCAAAGCCAAGTTACACACGTTTGGATGAGATTAGCGCTGCACAATAAGTAGAAATGCTCCAATTTATTACCACAAAAAAGGTTATCTTAAGTGGCATTCCACAACTAACTAGCATGGACAGGCACACAGATGGAATGCAGCCCTCTGCAAGCTCGGGTCAGCCACAGCGTTTGCTTTAAATTTTAAAAGTCAACAACACTACATATTCTTCTGATGTCACGTCTTTTTTTAGACTGAGAAAGTCTGCTGTTTTTTTTGTTTTTTTTACTCTAAGGCAGAAGCAGACGGGCTAATTCTCTTTTCATATTAAACAAACAAACACTAGAAACGCTCGCGCTGCCTGTGTTCCTTCTACTGACACAGTCACGAGTGAATTTAATCTGGGGAGACAAACAATGACAGTCAGCGCAAATGAAGAGCATTCTTTTTGCAAAAGAGGGAAATCCAGTTAATTTAGGTCCTGAAAAAGGTCAGAAACCTTTATTCTCACCAACTGACTTTGTCAAAGCTAATAATTGGGTTAAAGATATGGAGACTGATTAAGAACATAAACTTACATTTGTTTGGGTTTTTCTTAATATATAAGATCTAATATCTTGAGCTTTCATTCCTTGCTGAAGATGATGACTACATTTTTTACGTTTTACTTCATGCAAATGCATGTCCCCTGTCCCCACGCTTGTGGATGGAGCACAGAAATGGTTACTGTAGATCTCCTCAGCCAAGCACCTTGATGTTTTGGAGCTATACGTTTCCATCCCGGCCCCGCTACAGCCCCGGCAGCCCTGTAAAGCTGTAATAGCTGACTCTTTACAGCGTGCTCTGACATGCCTGCCAACGTGGTTGCGGATCTAAACACTGTTCGCCTGCGATGCTGGGGTTCAACTACACTTCCCATGAGCACTGACAGCCTCAGTGGACAGGCGCCCAGCTTTGCTCCAAAGAGCAAGTCAGCAGCTCCACGAAGGCGTGTCAGAGCAGGGTGTTTTAAGAACACAGCCATCAAGGTTTGGCATTTCAGACGCAGGCCCAACATGATGGCAGACATTTACCAGATCTGTATAGGTGGGGTTTTTATAGGGAGGCGAGACAAAGCCCACAAACACACACCCACACACACACGCACACTCCTCGTTATGAAAGTTGGAGGTATCTGAGGTGTTCCTTTTGAAAGCGAACACAGTTTGTCAGAGTTGCTCACAGTTAAGAAGCTGTCAACAATGGTGCGTAGCTCATCCCACAAACACCTGCCTTCATAATGAGATCTATCCGAAGAACACGGCATAATGCCGGAGGAAAACACTCTGCAAATGCAAACAAATGACTGTCTCTGTGTCCACATATATGGACACACAAAGAGAAGACAGCGAGCAGGTGTGTCGACTCATCTACCCTCAAACCCCTCAAAGCTTTGGCTCAGTCAGGCACAACCCGCAGCCAGATTTAAGCTAAAAACCCAAGCTGTTCAGCCACCTATATAACGCTCTCTCTCTCCTCCAGTGACCTTTCTTTTCTTTCTTTGTTCAGTTTTAATCCAGGTAGACAAAAAGCAGCGTAAAAAAAGAGAAAGCCATTAGGAGTGGCTCCCCGCTCTGATTTATGGTTGTACGACGGGTAAACTGACTCTCCACATGTGTTTCAGTGTGGCCACTGGGCATCACTTTGATTATGATGAACAAAATTAGATCTCGTAGACCATGTGTATGCCTCATTGTTTGGCTCAGGCTTTCCTACTTCTGGGGTTTAACTGGAAATAAAGGAGACTGACAAGGCAGACAGGAGCTGTCCCTTTCCTCTAGGAAATCCCTGAGGAAAGGGAGGGGAAAAAAACACTAAATCTACTCATTCAGTCTGTCATTCACTCATCCCCATCTTTCATGGCCATTTGTCTTTTAAATAAATTGAAGCATCATAAATGAATGCTCACTTGATTCAGATTTGATCAATGCTGCAGGCCCTAGAGCGTCAGATATGCAGTATTAAGCATAATATCACCTATTTATTGAGAAAAACCGCAAAGTGCTGCTTTTCTGCAGGAACTCCTATGCGTGTGAACATACAAAGGAACAGCAGTATGTTTTCCCACTGATGTGGTTTGCTTTGAAGCGCAGATGTCCGATTTATTATAGTAAAGTTCTATTTTCCGTGCTGAAAACACAGCCCCTTTGTGTGTTTGACGCCGAAAGGCCAAAAGTGCTACATTGCAGTCTACACATGCACCCGCAGGCATGCACAAGCAATGCTTCTGCACATGGAAAAAGACAAAGACCTTATTGCACATCATTCTGGACCCATACATGTATTGAAGAGTGCTTTCTTTGAAACACTCTTCCCCTCCCACCTTGTCCCCTTTCAAAGTTTAACATGGCAATTGAATGACAACTGAACATCTGAATTCCTAAGTCTTTTCCCGTTACAGCCCTCTCATAAGATGCCTTTCATTCTGTTATTTTTCTATGTGTGGTTAAGGTAATACATTAATTTCCTTTATGGGAATTTGTTAGTTATTTTGCACAAACACATCCTTTTCCTAATTAAGATGTAAAAACAGACAGTTCTAGTAATCTGGGCATTCAACCAAGGCTCAGAAACGCGTAGTCCTTAAGGCCCTCCTTAAGTGTGTGTAGGTGTGCTAATGTTCCAAAATCTCACTTAATCTTAGAAAATACTAAAGTGCTTGTGTATTTCTCTATTCTACCCTTTTGATTAGTGTCAATGATTAATTTTGGGGTAGTATATTTTTTACTTGTTTGTCAGTGATACTTAGCAACCTTCCGGTTTTATGCTCAAGAGGGTACAAAATTCTTCGAAAACTATGCGAATGGCTGTTTTATCGAGTGTCACAGGTGTGCACCAGTGCATCAACCTAAATGTGTCAAGAAGCGCACATCATAAATCAAAGTATGCCATTATTAACTGCGGCACAGCAGCGAGGAAACCTGGGCTACCGTAGGAAAAGGTTTAAGCTGCTGTTTCTCTCTGTCTCCCTCCCTGATGCAGCTTTAATTTGCCAAGCTCCTCTGTATCCAGAATATAGAATGGCTGGCTTTCACCTTTGTTGTCTAACAGGGATTTTGGCTATGCAAAGACAAGGCTGGGGAGCTAACACGCACAGCCCAGACATGCTTTTGCAGCAGTTGTTTCCTTTTCTTTGTTCTAGATTTATCCTTTGTAATCCCTTCTTCCCTCTCCTTTCCCTGGACTTGATTTTCTCCTCTTTCTTCGCCCAGTCAGATCCACAGCTTATTTATTCATTTTCTCTTTCTATCTCTCTTTCTGTCCTCTCTCAAGTCTTAGGCTGTCATATCGAGCTGCTTGCCAAATAATTAGATGGGACATTTGTTTGAAAACACATTTACAGATGGGTATTATCCTCTCTCATGGGCTTAATTTTAATCAGACATGACAACAGAATGTGTTTAGGATTTGCCAGATAGAAACAAAGAGGAAGACAGATGAGAAGAGAGGACAACAGGGTGGGAGCAAATTTTCAACACGTTTAACTAGTGTGCAAAACTGTTTTTGTTAGACTTCTTTTCGTTACTAATACAACAAATCTGTGTTGCCTCAGTCTTCAATCATCCCTAAAGCGGACAGTTTCAGCAGAAAATCATTAAAGGTGCAAAGCGTCAACATAGACTTGGAACCTACTCAACAACATGACAGAAATCAGCCCAATATCATTTGTCTCAGCCACTGTTGCTTTTTAATCATATATGTGGGACAGAAACTTGCAGGATGCTTTGGGAATAGAAAAGCTTCAGCTGCTGAACATGAACAGACATGTTCAGCCTCTGGGACTTCATTCCCTTATTATTTTTGTAATAATCTACTCTATGTGTGTATTTATTTATTTTTTTGGCGTTTTTCTGAGAGTCATGTGCTTACCAAGTTATGATCTAATGTTATGGGGTCCTCTATTGTTTCATCTTTGTTTATATATATATGGCATATATATGGCATACTCCTGTGGCATATCACACAGGCTTCATGCTTCTTCAATTTAAGGCTGGTTTGATGTTACGTGTTCTTGGATTTTTGTCCTAATCAAACTGCCTGTCTTCCCCGGTTATTGTATGCAGTTTCTATTGGTCTCTCACCAAGCCATGGGCCTGGGTCCTGCTTCCCTGCTTCTGAAATTAAAAGTTTATTTTCATTTGAATCTTGCAAGGTACAATAAACATGAATCCAATCTGCCCATGACTTTTTAGCTCACTGGGCTGCTGCACTGAAGAGCAATCGACCTGTGAGGTGAGGCCAGACACTACAGCAGTGTGCCCCTATCCTTCCTCTAATTAAATACTGGACTCTGCTCCACATCTAAATGAAAGGACAGGCATGGTGTACACTATACCGGGGCAGTGACATAATGCCAGGCAGCAGGGTGGGCTCAGTTACTTGTTACTCAGATGAGAGCAGTCTCTGGGCAGCTGGAGGGAAAATCATAAGGTTTTAAATCACAGTTGCTTTAGCGCTGAACACTGTGAGCACATCTGCTGACTCAATGCAGGTTTACACGGATTATTGAATGCACATCTACTCTAAAGGTCAATATGAGTGAGCGCACATGTGGATACGCGGTATTCAGAAAAGTCTCTGTGTTTGAATCCAAATCATTTGTGTTTGCTTGGACAGACCAAACTCGCTCAGTAAATCCAAATCCATCTGTCGATCTAACAGCGGTTTTCAGTCATGTATAGATTTTTGTATTACTGAGGGGGATTTTTGTGTACTTCTATGGTCTATTCAAAATTTCTTTAAAAAAATTGTTTTGCCTATATCCATAAAATCAATGGGTATGAGGATGCACTGATTCTAAAAGCAAAGTGGATTCAAACCTGCACAAATTATATATGTGCAGTTTAATTTCAGTCCAGCAGAGGGCAGTCTGATATTAAAGTTAGCATTGATGAGCTTTTCCAGTTGTAAGGACAAAACAGTTGCAGGTTGCATGAAAAAAACTCTGCATCTAATGGCATAAGATATAATTGTTTTTCTTCCAGAGCTCCACCTTCTGACATAAACACAGTAATCAAGTCATCATGAGGCTAGGTATAGGACAGGACGAGCACTGAGATGAGGTTTGTGCTCAGAAAGCACATGTAGATTAATCTAAATGCTTGAATGCGGGAAACAACCTTTTATCTATACTTGAAAATGATTTAGTTCTAATCTAATAGACTTATTCAGTTCTAAACTAATTGGCAGGAAGTAAACATCATTTCAAGAATTTCTGAAGAACTAAGAAGGATTTCAAACATGACATTTTGCTATTTTTCAAGCCTAAGAAGATTTTCGCATAAAGATGGGTACACACAAAGGAAGGAATATCCACACAAACTAGGTGGCATCTATATGCAGTGGAGTGAAATCATGTAAAAACCTTTACAAAGGAAAGACTGAACAACAACTTCATAAGCACATGTCATATAATTCCAAGCAAGTAGGTAGAAATGGAAGAAGGTTTTAAGATAAGATGCAAAACTACTTCAAGTATCAAGAAAATGAAGACAAACTACCCCATTCAAGATGTTAGGATTACAATGACCCAGAAGACTGAGAATCTACACCAAGACTGAGGCAGATTAAAAAGGCCCAGTGTAAGGGACTGAAGAATGTAACAAATGACTCCACTGGGACATGCCAACAGATGACGCAAAAGCTAAAGAAAAGGCTGCTTCAAAGACTTACTGTAGGTTGCATAACATACTGTTGATGAGGCATCCAAGATGTACTCTGGACCTATGTAGAAAAAAGTAAGAAAGGAGGGAAAGGAAGAGAGGAGAACACAAAAGAAGAGAGCGCCAGAGGTGATGATGACAATAATATCAGATATGATGAAGGAAACAGAAAGAGGAAGGATAGAGAGTAGGACAAAATGAAGGACACAAAAAATAGAGTAATTAATAAAGAAGTGCACGGGCATAAGAAGGAAGATGCAGAGGGGAAGTCAGGAGGATGTGAGATGAAAAGGAAGATCAAAAGAAGATCATTATAAGTGGGTACAGAATTGAGGAAGAAAAAACACAAAGAAGAATAATTGGAATACAGAATGACAGGAAGGGAGTGAAAATGAGAAAACCAAAGAAGAGAAGAAAGAAAATTAATCATTAGTTCAAGTCTGTTCTCGTAGCCACAGTCTCTGGGGTGGCGTGTCTTAAAGAATATCACAGCAGCCCACAATATAGCAAGTTATAGCAAGTTATGTTGGAATTATGAGAGGTTACAAAGAGCACAGAGAGCAAAACTGTCAAACAGTTACTACTTCCCAGTGAGGGTTACATCATCAAAGCGTGTCTGGGCCACATAACAACACACTTCACTGTCAACCACTACATACAAATCGAAAACATTAAGATCCTGTTTTTATATTGGCCATTTACTTATCTCTGATAATGCTTTTTAAAAAATTATACTTTGTACATTTTAAGTTACTATTGCTTCTTAGTTTCTTCATTTCTGTTCCTCACTCCTTGTTTCACAAGTTGTGTTAGTGTTACCTGCTAATTGTGTGCAAAATCGAATACAGCTTTGAAACTCAATTTGCTTTGCTGAAAGTGCACCGTTGTGTTAGTCACACTGATTTGCAGCAGTTTCATATATCATTCTAAGTCTATGGAATAGGTCCTGTTCTCTTCTTTAAAATCTGTGTTCAACAAACCGAGGATGACGATTGAGTCAAGCTTTGAAAGAAACACAGCTGCACTTTAGAACAGCTTTGACATGACTTGGTGAGCTCTGTGCTTAAAGAGGAGAGGGTGGAAACAGCAATAAAGGGCCATTAGTGCTTAAGATTCAATCAGTGATCAGTGGGAGGAGTGCTGCAGCATCAGCCTTTGTTTTATCATAGCCACATAGAAAATGTCATAAATGGAAAGAGATGATCGCTTAATTTCCAAGTCTTTTCTTGGGGGAAAAGTATTCTCTGCTAGCTTGTTATGTGCATCCAGGAATTTGTTTTGTACCAGTGAAGAAAGTTAACTTCAAAATATTTGAAGGCCAAACATTATTTTAATACCAACAGCAACTCTTATGTGGATGGGGTTTGTTTAAAAAAAAGATTCTTGGAGAAATGTAAAATGTGTTTATTATCTTCAGTCAAGATAATGTAATATGATGTACTTCCATCGATGACTTTTACTCGAATTTTAGGGAAACTGTGATTGTGTTAACTGAGCTATTCTGGACTTAAATGGGTCAGAAGTCTGGAGCTTTCTCCAGTGTAAATGATTACTTATATTTAACTCTTTCATTGAATTTAATCTCAATATAAAAAATGAGTTTTGGGGAATCTTTCTAGGTCAAGTTATTGGGGATGACTTTGATCATGAATTGAAGCTTTATGAATAAAATATTAGGTGAAATGTATTAAAACAAAATTTTGCTTTTCCGTTTCATCACTGGCTAAAGCTGAGCCTGCATGAGTAACTGACACTACTTGAATGCCTGCTTAGGGTCTGTTCAAACATCTCTGAACAGTTTCCTCTCTGACATGTGAAAACAATGTCAGCACACACAAAAGTGGGAAACATTAAGAGTTTTTTCACTACCAAAAGGGAACCTATGTGATGGCCTTGGACTATATTAAATAAAAAAACACAATGGTAGTTTTTTTAAAATCTAAAATGACTTGAAAATGTGCCATACAAATTAAAAGGGTACTATGATGATAGCAATATATAATAGTTTGGAGGAAAGATCAATACAAGCAATGGACATGACAAATTCAACCAACATCAGATGAATATCATTATAAATACAAAAAGAGCAGGAACAGGCCCATCTTCAGCCAAATAGAAAAAAATGTTTTTTAAAAATGTTTGGTAGTTTTGGTTAAAGCATAAACGGCCTGGATGACCTCAGCTCTTTGAACAGAGTGCAGAAATGGAGCAGTTTGATGAGGCAAGGTGGTGCAAGTCTATTGAGAGATTTAAAAGTTAGTAATAAAATGTCTAAATCATTCCTGTAGCAAATGACTACAAAGAAGACAGCACAAAAGTCAAGCCGTCTCACTTTTTGTTCCCTGTGCTGTGGGCTACGTTGTGGGCGAGTCAGAGGAAATATTGAGACAAATGTCTATTCCCTAATATAATAGAAAGGATCAGAAATGTAATAGAATATGCATTTTCAAGGATTGATCTACTGTAAAGCTTTTGGTAGGAAGACAGGGGTAAAGCCCTTCAGAATCAAAATGTGTATGAAGCATGCAACCAGAGACAGTATGACGATTAGAAGTGAACTACAGAAGTGAACTACAGAATTATCTTTAACCTTCTTTTATAATACAAAAATCTATAGTTAGTATTTTGTTGCAGCTTTTCATACAGATCTAAAGCATGAATCATATACAAAAGAACAATATGAGCTGTGTATGTGGAATGTACATAACTTAAATATTCTACATAGACTCACAGTCTCTGTCTAGTGTGTAGACCGAGAATGCGTTCAGCTGAACAGTCACGAATCTGCAGCTCCGTCATTTTATTTGAATAAAAACTCATTTCAGGTAATGAGAGTCTGGACCTCCTGAGAATTGTGTGCAGTCACCAAGGCTAAGCTAGCTGCTAACCCTGTTAAACTGCAATATCTTGTTGTGTCTACACGTGTTGAGTATAAGCTTGTCAGGGTAGCTGTTGATTATTTGGATTGATCCAAACCTTAACAGAAAGAGCTGGGCCGAGTAACGGCGTACTGACTAATTGATTACTGTTTCCTGTACATTCCCACAGAGCTTAGTCAGATCCATCACGCTTCCGAGACAGTCCACCCACCTGATATGTGGAGACAGGAGAGGCAGCAATGAAGGGTGTGATTGATGTCTGAGCAATCATCCGATTGGTGGAGATACTGTATGGCGAAGAGTAGAACCTAAGGAACACACGAGAAACATTTTGATCAACCATAAGACTAAATACACCCAGAGAAGGACTAAAACTGAGCCAATAACATATTAAAAAGGATTGATTGCATTGAAACAGTAATGTCTCAGACAAGAGACGTCTTTGCTGGTCCAGTGTTTGCTCTCTGAATGTAACCAAAGGTTTAAACCACTGAGTGAACTTCTAACCACCGCCTATAAAACAGATCAGACATCATCAAAGCTGTCATGGAAACACCCGATATTGCAGCTTCATTCTTTTCCAAACCTTCAAAGATGACTTCAAATCAGACCTGACACCGCATTAAAATACACGTTACTTTGCAAAGGGGGTCTGCACCACTGCTGTGCATCGCAATGAATTATCACCTTAATGTGTGTGTGGGTGAAATATTTCAATATTGCCCTTTCTATTCCCACCCACACATAAAGAAAAGGTTCTGTTTGAAACATCTGCATTTTACACTGTGCTTACTTCTCTGCCTATACCTTCGTTTACCCTTGTGATTTTCAACCATCTGAGTTTTTTTTGTTCCATTTCACCCCCTCAACCCTGCAGCGGTAGAATGCTGTGGCTCGCAGTGCTTTATTTATCACTGTGTACCCAGAAAGGACATGTTTCATCCGCCATGCCGTGTTGCTGTGCCCGATCGATCCCAAAGTGTCTGTTGACTGAGTAATAGAGCGAGGGGTGGGAGGCAAAGAGAGGGGCAGAGACAGAGAGAGAAGACCTATTCTATCTATTTCTGAAACAGTCATGATTATCTAAACACCGGCTTGTAACAAATCAAGTGCTTCTAAATTGGGTGAAAGAAGTGCTTTTCTTATCGAGGTAACTCCAAACTATTATTGATAATATGTCATGTCATTTATTTGCTAGATTTTCTCTTTAAAAAAATTTGACATGCCACATGCCACATGACATGGCATCGTATACAGAGATTACAGCAGGACTCACTAATTAACTAAACAATACAAAAAAGAACTGCTGATATCCTCCTGAAAAAAATAAAACCATCTATTGCGTACCAAACTGCATGGATGCTGCTGCAGAGACGTCTCAGGTGTCCAGATTTCCTTCAGGATTCTTTAGCTGGACTTGTTATGCTGAATGCCTTGTATAGGCTCTTAGACCAGAACTACTGTAGTTTCAAAGTATAACCTGCTTCAGTGGCACGACAGGGAAATCTTATTACCTTGAACAGGTTCAGCGCTGGTTCATCTGCACATTGACTGTGCGCTCTGTTTGAGGAGCACTGACCCAAGCAGCTTAGATTACCTAAAGGGGACCATCATTTCCCCCTGACCTCTCAGTTCTGGATTACATTCATGTCCCGAAAGGCTTCCTTGGGTTGCGAAAACAGGAAACCACTACTCATTGGTTTTTTAAAGATATAAACATGCATATCTGACTTGGTAATAGGACGTGGTAATAGGACGTTGGAATAATCTTTTTGTCACAATAGCTGTTACAGGGCACATTTAAGCAGCATTTCTATAATGAATATTGAGTTAAATTTAGAATCTTAGTGTATAAACATCCAAGTTCAGTCAAATGAATACATATTAACCCTATTTTAAAGAACCTTATGTCATAGGGTTTCAAATGTAATAAAAAACCCAGAAAAGTTATGTGTTATTTTTATGGTTTTGTTATCCATTCCTGGATAAAATCTAGATATGATTCCAACTGAGATATTTGTTTTGGAAGATTTTCCCAATATATAGTCCAAAGGGCTCTCAGAGAAAGAGAAATAGTTCAAGTTGAAACGTAAAAAATAATTCAAGCCCATCAAAGAAAAAGTAGGAATAAACTGATTCCTGTAAATACTGAAAAATAAAAACTGCAGAGGCCAGTGAAGCAATGTGGCAGAAGATAGACCTCAAGGTAAAACAGTAGTGGTGGTGGAGGAAAGCAAGTTTGTTAAAAAAATCAAACCCTTTCACAATAGTCACCAGACAAGACATGATATAGAAGACATTACACATGTCCCAAAAGACAGTACACTCTTGATCAGTCCTAATGTTTTACAAAACAGGATAGATTTAAAAACTTAATTAAACTCATGTGAATAAAACCTCCAATAGACCAGCAGACTGCACTTTGTCCTTATTTATTCAACCAAACTAATCCCACATGCAGAAAGGCAGCTTGAAAAACAACAGTGAGCACTACGTATGAATCAAGGTTTTGTAGATCTTTTAGCAACTGCTTCCCACAGTTCTTCGAGATTTGCAATGGTTCATTTAGTCGCAGCCCCCCTTAAGGTAAACTCACAGCAAATCAATCAGGCTGAGCTCAAGTTGAGGTCTTGGTTCTTTTGTTGTTCAGAATTCTGTTGCAGATTCTGAGTTTGCTTGGGATCACTGTCTTACTGCGTGATCTGATATTGGTCAAGCTGTAGCTGTCAGACAGAGGGCCTCACATTTTACTCTTTGCTCTACAGAGATACTCATGGTTGACATACTAACTGAACTGTTTTGAGTATACAAAAAAGATTTTCAAACAATGATCATGCATTACACTGTAGACAAAACATAAAAATCTCCACTTTTAGTTACGTGTATCTAATGCATCTTGTCTTTGGGAGATGTATTTGAAATGCTTTGCATTAAGCTAAGATAAGCTCATACACATCATTTATAGAACTTTTCTAGAGCTGATTGATTTCAGAAAAACAAGTGTGTGAAACAAATGCAAACGTTCTTGCAAATGTATTGATGATGAACAAATATCTTTACTGATATTGCAGCGGTATGGATCTGTTTTTTTGACAAGTAATATATGGCCAGCATTAGAGATACAGTATTACTGTCACTGATGAATACAAATGAGGGAAAACAGCAGGGTTATTCAATATAGCTCTCTGATTGTGTTTATTGTATTTTTCATTAGACTGATGTGTATTGAGAGAAAGAAGTAGTTGGCAGAGGACAGATCCAAGGTTATTGATGGAGGCTATTAGCCCTCAGCAGCAAACTGTCAATGGGGACTCCAGCACAGCCGTTTAAACAATGCACTGAACATGTAATTGCGAGCAGAACATTAATACGGGATTGGATTTAACCTCTGGCGTGATCTAAGCGCACTGTCAGGAGTTTGCCACGAAAATTAGCGAATGATTTAGTGCTGACCTCAGTGACTTTAGGAGAGAAAATGGCAAGTGTAGAAAGGAGAGCGGAGATATTTGAGAGGCAGAGAAGCTTAGAAAAACAACCATGAAAAGCTTAATGTTTCATCTCGATTCAAAGAAGACAGACTTCCAGCCAATGCAGTTCATATTACTCTGGTGAAAGATGCTAAAAAGCAGCAGTTGCTTTGTTTATGAAACAGGTATGTGGCTGTGGGAGTTACACAAGTTGCGGGCTTCATGTTGACGCCTTTGGTGCTTAAAGCATCTTTTGATTGGTCCGATGGGATCTTCTCACAGACATGCCCACCAACACGTGATTCAGAGCGCTGATCGGTGTGAGTGGTCGGGTTTTTTGTATCTTAATTGCTTGATTATTTTGAATTTTGTTGTGGCTCAAGGTGTAGGTGCTACCATGCCACTTCCTGTCTCTCCATCAGCTGCTGAAGCTGAAAGTGGCAGCTCCCCTCATCCTGTTTGGTGTGGAGTCCCTGGGTTTGGGTCCTTTCTGTGTGTGTCTGCTATATGAGACTGGGGTGACGCTTATTTTGCATTTTATTTGGGGGTCCTTATCCCCTCCTAATCCAGTTCCTCCACCTGTAAACTGCTGCAGTTAAGAGTTGTCCCTGTTCCAAGATCCCGTATGCATGTTTTTACAGCAATTTGAAACTTTCGCTTTCTTTTGCTTCTTAAACTGAAACCCTGTTTCTTGACTAGTGTTAACTTACCTGTGTGCAACGACACATTGTTTCCCTGGGTGAAATTTCAAGGGATTCACCTGTCTAGTTTTTCCCAGCTCTAAAATGTAATTGATTCATACCCTTCTCCTCTCCTTGGACTGACTTCATTTTTACCTTTGCCCTTTCCTTAACCCCACTCAGACCTCCATTTTGATTCAAGCTCCTTCCCTCCTTGTATTCTGCTTCTCTAATTAGCTGCATTAACATTTCAGTCATTTAGCGCTTTGCCGAAAGGAGCACGAGTGACCTCGAAAGACAGGTCGTAGAGGGTTTAAACAATGCAAGCCAGCAGATGCTTGCGTGCAAGAACTTATGCACGCACAAAGACCCACACACACTCGCCCAAAAAGACACCAGTGGTAACTGAAACCAAAGCCACTGCGCGGAGGCAAAGGGCGGGAATGACTGGAAGACAGACATCAGTTGAAACAAAGAAAAAGTCAAAAACAGTTGGAGGACAATATTGCATGAGGCCAAATAAGCATTAGAGGATTGACTTCAATGATTAGATGAAGAATTAAAATCGAAGCAAAATGGAGATCAAACTGTAAAAGTTGACACAGAAATGGGGCAAAAAAGGATGGAGAAGTGGGCTGACTAGAGGAGGGAGAGAGGACTGCATAGCGGCAGGGAATATTCTCCAGGGATTGTATCACCAGAAGCACTCTTAGCAGACAGGACCAATCTCCAATTTCCACCCTGAAACACACAGACACCGCTCTCTGCATTCAGCTTAGGAGCACTGCAGATAGTTTTGGCTGATGAAAGTCTTACAGTGACACTGCAACACTGCCCAACGTTCCTGTCTGTAATTAAAACCAACATATCTGACAGCTTGTAAGCATAGGTGCATGAGTAAATGCTCCATCCGCATCAGTTAGGGGCGGATCGACAGATGAAATCTGAGTTAACCATAGTGTTTTTTGTTTTCAGCTGGAGTATTGGACTCATTTGCATGGAAATGCTTTTGTACACACTGTTGCTTCACTGCTGATGGTTGCTTTTTGTGTGTTAAACTCTGGAAGCTTTGAGAAAACTTCTGAACAGACTTGAGATTTTAAGAAGCCACAAAAAAGAGCTGTTTTTTTTAAACGTCCTAACTGACAAGCTAACTGTCAAACATCAGTGATTTTTTATGTCACTTAAGAGAACATATCATTTTTCAAAATTACAATAAAAAATTCTAAGATGTGTGTTTTCATGGCGCCAGTGCTTGATATGAGGGAAAGACTCACATATAGAAGAACACAGTTGAGATTTCTGTTGGAAAAATGTCCACCTACCCATTCTGCATCGCTGTGGGATCATATGTTAACGCCATTCCACCCTGTTAGGAGGAAAGAAAGACAAAAGAAAAAAAAACAGTCAGAAGTAACAATTTGTACCGTTTTGGTGAATTCAACTTTGGATTTTTATGTTTTGAATAATGGCACTTTCTGGTTGTTTAATGCTGCTTGATTTTGATTTATGGTAGTTTTAGTTGGGCTATTCTTCCCCTCCCTATGGTAATTTTGTTGTGCTCCCTGAGTCTATGCAGTGATTAACTTATCATCATTTTGCATCTGGTCATTTATATCTGTTTTGCATGCCACCGACTTTACAGTATTTAACGTCTCTCCTAGTCTAGGAAATGCGTAACTGTTCTGGGAAAAAATAACTGTCCCCCGCCTCCTTTGGCCATGGGCTAATCACTAATGTATTCACACTGAAAGAAAAATCTGGAAAAGCTGTTGAAAATAGCTTAAATTAAAATGTCCGCTTTCAGAAAAGCACGGAATATATTGATGCGGCAACAGATAATGTTCTGAGTAGCTCAAAAAACAAATAAGAACTTTGTGCTGCCACACTTTAATCATATTACACGGATATGATTTAAGAACATATCTACATCATGTTACTATCAGAGGAAACTAAGTTACGACAGTATACTTCAGTACTGTTTTTGCTTTTTAACCAGCCTGTTTCATCTTGTACGTCACGTTGCAAAGTTTGATTAGGATCTTCATGCATTCGACTGCCTCTGAAATTTCTGAGCAACCTAAAAGAGACAACAATGTCTCAGTGATTTTATCTTTATTTTTTTCCTAAACCCGCTCCCCCCTTATCCCTGTTCCCCATCTTCACTATGCAGTTCACGATCCAAATAAGTGCATGAGTTTAAACATGCCCTGATGCAGAACCTAACTATAATGCTGACTTTCTCCTCAAACTAAAACAAAATCAACAAAAGAATTTGGGAAAAAACTTAACCAGCTCTTCAAAACCCAAAAATCGGCATCATGCGTGTCAGAGTGATTGTGTGTGCAACATGTACACGTCATTGTTCCGAGGCCAGAATCATTTAGGAAGGAGCGGACTGAGGGAGATTAGAGTTGGTTGACTGAGTGTGAGGGCGCAGTTAAGCACCTCAAAGCACCTCCGCGGCCAGATGTCTCTATTAGTCAGCCTGGGCTCCGAGACCTGGCTCCGACAAAAGCGCAAACCTCTGACATGATGTCTCAGGGCCAAGCGAGACTTGGACTTGGACCCGTGACAAATGGGTGAGGAATCTCACTGAAATAACTGATCATTTATTTCCTGCTAAACTGACACAAATGCTGACAAGAAGCCATCACATAGGAGCCGCTGACAGCGGGAGATGGACTGCAGAGTGAGGGCAGCTCTGCGGTGACGTGTCGCCGGTTATTCTTATGAATAAAAAAACTGAACTGCAATCTGTGCCCGATAGACACAAACACCCACGAAGGTCAAACATAAACACGGCAGCATCCTGTTGTTGTGTTGGTGGCTCTTTCTGCTGCACACTCACAGCCCGGTGCCATTTCATTCCGCTTCACCACCCTGCTCTTTCCCAACCTCTGTGAAATGCGAGCGTTAGAAAACACTGCACTCTGTGTGTGGGTGGCGACATTATTATTCACTTTTCGCTTGTTCGGAAAATTAAAGCTTTGGTATCGACACTAAAAATCTGAACTCCCTCATTGTGCAACAGTCAGTCTGCTTTCAATTCTCTGTACTAAGTTGGGTTTTTTCAGTACATGACAGTCTGGAGGTGGTAGCTTATAAAAAAAGACAAAAAAACAGTCGACATTGTGGTCTTCTGGCAGCATTCATATTGTCAGTAACATTGCTCATACAGAATACAATCTATCTGTGCAAATGAAAGCTCATAATGACCTTGGAGGGAAATGAGACAGCTACTCTGAATTTAAACTGTAGAAGAAAGTGTGTGAGAAACTGAACATTGTGACTAGAGATTTTAAGTGTTTCTAAGAAGCTAGAAATACTGACTCACAGGAAGGAGACAAGTCTGCTTTTTTAGATTACTGTAAATTTTTGGGCTCCGAAACTGAATAGGACATGTTGTAAAAGCGGATTATGGATATGCCGCAGCAAAACTTACAGCTAAGTAAGTAAAACTGCATTTGGTTAACTGTGCTAACTCTACTTCTACAGATACATATAGATTTTTTACTCATACACAAAACAACAGACCAGTGCATATGTATTCTTCTTTGTTTAATTTCTAAGGCCCTCTTTCATAAATCCAACAAACTGTAGACACATACCAACCTGATATCCAGCCATGAATGAATTTGGTTACTCTCCTAATTTGTCATTTGAATTAAAGTCATTGTTGTACTACAACTAAAAATGTATGATGACAACATCAAGAAATGAAGCTTGACGAAATATTAAACTGAATCACTCATCAGTGAAAAGGGAAATCTGTGAACTCAGCTCTGTGATTCCAAATAGAGCAGAATTGATCAGCTCTGTAGCTGCGCTCAGCTGAGAAACAAATGTTGCCAGTAAAACACGTACAGAAAAAACATTGTCTCAATGAGCAAGCCTCTTGCAATCATCTTTTTTGGTCATTCCATTTCTGAAATTTCACCTCACATCATTTTTACATTGCTAAATAATGTGTGTCCTCAATGGTCTGAAGAATGTATGAGGTACTCAGGGAAAAACATGACTCTTGTTAAACAATTTTTCTAAACTGTTGTGTCTGATAATTGTCACCAGTGCTGCAGTGGAGCTTTTGTTTCTCTACATAAAGAAAATCTGAGCCTCACCTCTCCTTCCCGCGTCCACGGTCGACCGTTCTGGGGGTATTTGACCTGGGTCTGTCTCTTTTTTTGGCCTCCATCAGCAAACTTGCACAGCAAAGGCTCTGCAGGAGCTACAGAGCGAGTCAGACAGAAAGGGAGACAAGGACAAGCAAAGAGATGGATTCACCGTTCCGATAGCAAGTTCAGGGGAAAAAACTGATTCGATTTACAGACGCTGTTCTGCTTATGCTAAAATTAAGAAATGAAGCAGCTGAACCTGTAAACTGCCCTTCAGCTCTTCAAAGCATCTCGTTCAGCTCTTATCAAAACATCTAGGCAACAGCCTATCTCTACAACTCCAATAACCGTGCTTTCTCAAAAGCAGAATCGGCATGGAAACAAAGCCAGAGGATACTCATCAAAGCATGTAGAGCATGGTTCAGAAACAAAGCAAACAGGCACACTCAATACAGTAAATAACTCCACAGTTTGACCTGAGGGTAATGGATGGCGATTGTAATCACTCCAAAGAAAACATGGTTCTTTCCTGGACCGGAGAAAGCAGAAAGGTTTGATTACAAATAGGATTACGTGAGTGTGTGACCTCCTAAATAAAAGTTCACAAAACTTAGACTCCTGAAAAAGAAGGAAAAGAAGCTGGTGAGGGGGTGTGCTCCTAAAAAAAGGAAAAGAACTAAAAAAAAAAGGGGCCAAACTCTGAATTGGCTTAATCTAATTTTGGAACATTTTTTGGAATTTGTTAGAAAGCACGTCAGCGTGACTCGACTGTAACATTAAAAACTGAAAAAAACAGCCAAGCATTACCAGAATACGCAGATAAGATATTTATCAGTTTATGCAACGAGAGAGTCCTTTATTTTATGTAACTTGTGACGCTTTTGACGTTAGTGTTATTCAAACATTGGGTAAAATGAAATCAATTTAACATGACAAAAATTGTTTATAATTCCATGTAATGAAGGTCTAAACATCCAATTATATCATGACCCTTATAACAGAATTAATTTTTGGCAAAAAGAACTGGTCACATTAAATTGGATATGTGGTTTCTTTGAATATTGGTTAAATTTTTTCCTGTCCTTCTGGTAATGTCTACACCATTTTCTGCTTTTTCCAATTTTTAAAGTTGTAATTACAAAACACTAACAAAAAAATAACAAAGAAAACTGGGTTTATCTGGACATGGTGTGCTGTGTGGTTGCTGCATTATAAGATGTGACAGCGCTAAAAAAAAACTATTGTCAGTAGAGGTACGGTGTCAAGAAATGGGAAAAATCTTGCAAACACCTAATGCAGGACTTCACAGCTGCATTTGACATCTTGGTTGATCCTCACTTGTCATGAGGCCATTCTTCAGGAAGGGAAACAGGGAGGACAAGAATGTCAAAGGTATGCCAAATGAAAAAAAGAAGCGGACTGAAAATCAGTGGCAACAGGTGCAACAGAGGGATGAATTCTCCCCAGAGCACATCTCAACAGTTCTGAAGCAGTGTAGAATCATCCTTACAGAGAAAAAAAAGAGAAAAAAACAGGCAACATCCAAAGAAAACCTATGGAATGACCTTTCTTTCCTTTAGAACCCTTTGTTTCCTTGAGTAATAGACATAGTTTTATTTAAGTTCCCTTCATTTGTGTCCTCTTCCACTCAGTCTCTCCAACGTGACAGAAATTTGAAAATGATTTTTTCAGATTACTGTCTCTTTGTAATACTTATCCTTCTAAAATAAAAGACACATTTTGATATGCACAGCAGATAATATTGGTGGCAGATTAATCTAATCCGAGAACATTTCTGCCCACTATGAACGCATTTAACACACCATTTATTGTCAGAAATCCATATATGGACACAAGAACACCTCCAGAAATCATGAAAAAACAGGTCACTGTGCCATCTACAAATGCAGACTTGAGGTCTATCATGCAAAGAAGTGGCCATGTGAGAACGTGATCAAGGTATGAGGCAAAGTGGGAAACTGTTTTCTGGCCAGATGAATCAGAAACTGAAATGCTTTTTGGAAATCATGGATGCATTGTCCTCCAGACTAAAGAGGAGAAGGGCCATTTGACTTGATGTCAGCATAGAGTTCAAAAGCCTGCTTCTGTGATAGCGTACGGGTGCATTAGTGCCTATGAAACTGGGAAATTGCACAACTAGAAAGGCCCATTCACACTGAGAAGTGTTTGCAGGTATGAGGGCATATGTTTCTGATGACCTTTTTCACGAAGGCCTTTCACACCCCAGCAAGCCAGTGCTGCTATACAGCATCTTTATCTTTACATTCTTCCACAGTTGTCTGTATTTTTGATTATTTTGATTATGATGCCTAATACCATCCAAAAATCTGTTATCTGAAAATGATCAATTACAACATAACTTTTAACATTCATTATTTATTCAAACTGCAGGGGTGTGAAATTACCTGTAGTTGAAATAAACATTATTATGAAGTACGGCGAGATACGAAAATGAGTCCATAGTGAAATTACAGTCATTTCTTAAAATGATTCTCGACAAATGTCAGTAAGTAACTTTTTAACCTTGATAATTAAACTCATTTAGCAGATTGCCTCTTGTTTGTTGCTTTCATACATCGACCACTGTGTTTCGACGCATTCCTGCAGCTCTGATACAGCTATTAACTTGTCATATCTTTTTTAACTGGCAGTGATCCCAAACTGTCAAAATCTAAATCTCTATCCCAGTGTGCAGCAGGGAAATAAAGGACTTTTAAAAGGCACAGCAAGCTCCAAACAAATTGATGTTTCATCGTGCCAGTACCGACTCAATTTTTATGAATGCCAAAATAAACGACACAATTATCTCGCATACTTAAAGAAAAACGTTTCTTCACAGCTGTACACAAGAAAATGAGAAGATGTGTTCAGCCTGGAGAAATATTCAGAGCAGGGAGATTGGAAGATTGAAAGTACTTTGGAATGCGTGGGGCTCAGAGGAGTAGTCCAAAGCTAAACAAATGTGATGGAAAAAAAGTTCTGTTTGATTGGATGGCATTTAACATCAAAATATTTGGTCATTTAAGCATAAATAAGTTAATCTTTCTATGTGAATGACCAACCACACTGAGCTTCTGTCATCATTCTTTGCATTTACATTAAAAATAATTCTCATTCACATGCATTAAGTCCTGTGTTTTCCTTTTAGTCCTGTGATAAACTCTTCCCATGCACAAGGCTCTCATTGTGTATGCATGTGTGTGTGTGTGTGTATCACCACAAAAAGGTCTTCTGCAATAACCCGAAAAATTACAAATCTTGCCTTCAAGAAACTAAATGATAAAGATTTGTTAGAGATTATGATTGTTTAGTCAGTGTGTGTGTTCATAAAACAATGTTACTCTGGCTGACCTCACTTTAGGCTCTGTTATGCAAAGGGATGCACTTCAGTTTGGAAGTTTCTGCCCAATTGTACCAATGTCTTCTATCTATGCAAAGTTGATTAAACGTGTTTTGAACACAGATAATAGAGTTTAGATTGAGTCATTTTATTCAAAACTAGCAAATATGATTGTTTCTCAAACAAACAATGAGTATACACACCTCAAATTACACACAATGTCAAGAAAGAAATAATATATTGGGCAATTTTTTATTTGTTCATCATGACATTTTCAAAATACCTGACAGACTGTAAACCTGTAAACTAGACAGGATATAGTGGGTGCCTTTGAAAAAACATTTTTAGTAAGGATTAGCCTCAACACAAATAGTCTTAAAGTCTATATTTGGTCAACTGACACTTTTGTAGTTGAGATGAGAAGATGTTTGTTGCACAATGTTATTCACGCTCAGTCCATGTTTAGCTGAAACCAAACCGATCCACCCACACACAGAGCTACAGTGTGCTCCCAGTGCTGTACAGTCATTACATTAGGTCCGTGTTGCTAAACACCGGTGCCCAACTCTGGTCCTCGAGGACTACATTCTTCCCATATATTAGGCTGTCCTGCAGCTTTTAGCAGTTTCTCCGCTTCAAAACCACTCATTCTGATCGGATAACTCCAGAAGCTCTGCAAAAAACTTGTTAATGGCACATCGATTTGGATCAAGTGTCTTGAAGCAGAGAAACGTCTGAAACTGGAAGACTGACATGATAAGAGTAGATACGTTATGCAGAAAGAAGTAAAAACCCTTTAAAAAACAAATGTGTTTTTTCACACTGGGTCCATTTAAATATCTTGATAAGGAGTTTTGACTAAAAGGTATGAATACAGCAAGAGTTCAAAACTGTTTTATTTACTCAGTCACTACACGGGCCGTGAGATGGATCATAGCATGTCTAAATGGTTACAGGTGAATGTGGTGAGGGAAAAGAAAGAAAAATAAATCAGTTTTCACTGAGTTGAAATAGTTTCAGCCTGTGACATTTCATATCTAAATGACAGGACATGCTTGTCTGTGGTTGGTGGCTTGTACTGTGCAGAAAAGATCACATAGAATCACCAGTGACTGGAGCTGTGGGATATCACTGATTACAGTGAGGCTTTAAAGAAAATGTTGAAACTCCAGCAGAGCGCACAAACATTTTAGTTGTGGTAAAGGTCTTACAGGAGAACAGAACAGGGGGAGAAGAAACACGCCTATTTCTCCAGATCAGTTTCACCTGGTGGTGAATAATACATACTATGAGTAACTGCTATAAATCTACAACCATAACAAATGCATTATAAAATCTGAATGTGCTGTTTGAGTTCAAATTGAATAACAACTTTTGCATTCAGCTAAAAAAACAACTGTAGATAATAATAATAATGTATCTGTATAAACCTCACTAATTAGTCCCATGGGCCAGACTTGCACCTTTTTCAGGCAAATAACTGTAAATGTGCTGCTGTACTAAGAATACAACCCTTGAATTTGTACTTGATGTGGCCGGATTGTTTATATGCAGAGTAACAGTAACTATTGCACAACAATGGAATAAGGGGATAATATATGTGGTTTAAAGGAGAACCCACTCTACATTTGAATGGATGTATTTTCAATGTCTAATGATGTCATCAGAACAATTAGCAAGTACGATCATTCTTAAATTTCTATCTGAATCATAAAGTTAAGAAAAGAAAACAGGGAGGTCCAACTGTATCCAAGTTAGACACTTGACCTCTATGAGGAAAACTACTTTAAAAGTCAAAGCTTTGGATCAATGGGTTTCCTGATAATGAAGACTGATGGATGCACTGGCCAAATAATCAATCAGCAGTGGCAACAGTAGCAACAGGTTCAAATACAACCATTTCCAGTACTGCGCAGGCTCAGACCATCTAAAGATCACTCATAACATGAAGACAACCAGTGACACATGTGAGTGAAATGGAAGAAGAATTCATTGTATGATTTTAACTAGAATGATTGCACACACAATTATTATCTTATATGTATATTAAAATCTGTCCTAAGATCTCAGTTTAGATAATATACTTTAGAAACATGCCATCCAACTTTCAATAACTGACTGCACTATTACACAATGCCATATTTACAGCTGCTTCAGCGCTTTAGGCTCAACAAGCTAGATACAAATATCCATTAAAGCCTCCTCCACTGATCCCTTCCCATGTCGATGCTGCAAGCAGAACTGCTCCATAAATGTGCAAAGCCACACTGAATATTCTTTACCATCATCTGCATGAGAACCCTTCATACAGTAAAACCTCTCTGTGGGTATGTGACTAAAAAAAAACCTTTTCTTTCCTGCTGAATACTGCTGAATGCTTACTACCAAAAAAATGAAAAGCCAAGCATCACTTAAGTTAAAGCTGAATACATAGATCTAAGTAAAATATATATCCGTATTTCTTTAAAGGTTTCTATTATTTTCTGTCATATCTTGCTTCTAATAATATTCTAACTTCCAAGAGTATTTTTTGCATGTGCATTACACACTGCTCTCCAGTTTCACTGCTTGTCAACATTATCAGAATGGGACAACATTCCTCCAAGGATGATTTTCTAAAGATGCTGAATTCACCCTTGCAAGACTGAGTGATTTTACAGTTTGGTAACATGACACTGTTGTAGACAAGGAAAATGCCTGGTAAACCAACAAAAGAACCCACCAACAATATATGGGTCCATGATTAGTGCAATTTCTCTCTAATTTGTGAGGTTTTGAAAAATCTATGGTTAAAACAAAAAGAAGAGAATAACGACATTAACATCAATGGCCTTACATCAAGTGGAAGCCACTCACAAATACAGCACTGAATCTGATTTAATATGGAGGGCAGCCACTTAAAATGCACAAATGCGGATGAGCAGACCAACCTTGTGATACCTTAAAGATAGGTGCACATTTAATTCACATATTGGACGGCAGTTGCCAAGGAGCAGATGCTGAAACCTTGAACTTGCTTAAAGACTTAAAAAACATAGCATCCGATAACTCGTCTTTGGCCTCTTGGGCGCAGCTCAAATTGCAACCCCAGCATAAAGTGAGGCGGACTGCAGCGTTCGTGGTGTATGAGCACTCTCCCCCAGCATGCACAGAATCAGTTAATCCATTATCAACACAAAATAGGCATTTGAAGAACCATAAACCATCACTGAGGATTTTACATCGTAATGAAACAAATTCTCATTGTACGGACTGAGCCAATCTCTTATCATAAAAAATATGTTCCCATTATGCAAAGTCATGGCCATTAACACAGGTCAAGCAGAGGTGACTCATTCACATATCAGTTTGTGTTTACATGCCACACACTGGCATCATGGAGTCAACTGAGCGGCCAATGCATCATGGGTAGAATAAGGTGTTGCATAATGTCAGCTGTCCTTTACAAACACAGACAGATTTGTCTTAGTTATTGCCTCCCTTTTTGGCCGCCCTTCCCTCCAGTACTCTTGCTCAATACTAATACACAACAATTGTGTACAGTTTCTGGCTTAAAATCGCGCTACGAAAAGGTTTTTTTCCCAGTACATTTAGCAATGGCAGTGTTTTAGATTTGGTCCCATTTCTGTGGTGACATTACCCAGGCCGGTCCACCAGTTATGGAGCATTTTACATCAACTAGAAATACCTGGTTCACTGGTCAGTGAGTGGGCTACAGCCAGGCTAATGCAAGCTGCCTCACTGGAACATGCTGGAGTTGTTTACTGTTTTTCCATGGACGGCACCAGCTGGTTGCAGGTGCTACAAGATCTGATGGCATTGGTAATGTTTAATAATCTTGATCAGGTGAATTAAAAAATATACCGTATAACATTTTAAATGATAGGATGATAATATAAATATAGCTCAAGTAGGCAAGACTGTAAATGAACATCTGTAAGCTCATTTATTCTTAATTCCTCTACATTCACAACAGCCTTTTTCCTCCTTTGAGTCACAGCGTTAAAAAGGCGAGATGTCTCTGCTCTTTACTTGCAGGACAATCAGAGACAGATTGTTTTCTTCAGGGGATGTGCGTCTGTGTACGGACATGTGGCTCATGAACGAGTGTGTTTCAATCTGTGTCGTGTGCAGAAACAACAGTATCACACTGATCTTCCTTGTAAATCTAAAGGAGGTCTGAAGAGTGGGATGGAAGGAGAAAATAACACAGATCATAGATGCATTATCAGTCGCACTCGGGCTGCTTTGACTACATCCAAAAATGGCAAAGAAAATGAAGGTATGCTACTAATAAAACACATAATACATAAATAAGATATAATTAGTAACGTAATTAATACGTTTATTTCAGCATAATTGCCAAAAGTGGCAGGGAGAGTTAGGAGACGATTTCCCAGCTAACTGAGACAAAAGGCTAAATATTAAGTGCACAAAATGTAGAGTGAACCAAATTAACCTCCACATAAAGCCTACTTCAATTAATCTACTGACACCTACCTGTCATGCCTGGAGGGGTTTTCAGAAATTTTCCGTTGAAATTTTGAATCACCACATCACACTTCTCTGTTGACTCCATCCTGTACAGACAGAAAGAAAGTTGGGTTTCGGGACGGTGGTCTCTCCATGGTGGAAAAAAATCAGCACAAAATGCTCAACAACGCTGTTCTCGAGAGTCCAAACGTGGTTGCACAGTGTGTAGATACGAGCACGGCTAGAATTGTCCTACTTTTCAGTTTGAGCAAATGCCTGCCTGTTAAAGCATCTGCGTTTGGCTGTCAATGTAAGACTGTAAAAAATGCTTTAGGTGGGCTTGTGCGTGTCTGTGTGTTTGTCTGTCTGTGTTTTCTATGGGGTTTCCTCTCCTTTGTCCCAGTTTAAAAGCTCCTTTCAGCCAGATCTGTTGTGTGTCATGTTCTCTTTGTCTGCCCTTATTCAGCGCTGCTCACCCAATCACAGCTCAATGACTAATTGCCTGCTTTGGCAAGCAAAAGCCAAAGTGTCAGTGTGTGTGGAGAGAAAAATGGTGACTGAGTGTGTGTTTGGGATGTGAGCGCATGTCTCTGTGTGGGTCTTGAGTTTTCTTCATATAGTCAGTGACCCAGAATGTATCACTGACTGCGTTCTAATCACCGTCACACTCTGCTCTGAAACTGAGAAGACCACACACACTGACAAAGGCCGAGGGGCCAAGGGTGTAGGAGCTGGAAGTCTTTCAATTGCAAATGGGACTGAATAACATTGGAGAAATACTGGTAATTCTATTAATTTTTAATAACTATGTGAAACCTGTGTCAAATATATACTAACATGCATAGCCACATAATCATATAGGAACAAAATTCTGACTAATTTGACAGGCAAATGAAATTTGTCTATGGCATCAGTACATCCAGAAATTATTTTCCAAATGATTTTTTTCGCCTGAAATTATGAACAGGTATTTCCTTAAAAACATGCAATGTTCTAAATGCTAACCTTACAGCCATGCATTTTTTCATTCTTTTTTAAATGTCAGCAACTGATTGATGTCAGAAGTCTCTTTTTAGTTCATATAAAACCAGGAAATTCAGACAAAAAGATTATATAATACTAACTATCCATGTGACTTGCAGTGGACACTGTGGTTACTGTGAAGGTGTGTGTTCCCTGTCCCCGTACCTGGCAAAGCCCACTCCCCTGCTCAGGCCGTTAGCGTCCCGCAGTATCCGTGTGGAAATGACGTGGCCAAAGGGCTTCAGCATGTTTTCCAGCTCCTGCTCGTCCATTGACACGGGTAAGTTGGATATGTAAAGGTTGGTGGGATCCTGTTCCTGCTGCTGTAAAGACACAAATAGAAAATTATTTTTCACATCAAATTTAAAGAGAGATGCATGATTTAGAGCTGAAGAAAGACTGAAAAGATTGACTACTATTGGGTTGTGATAATTGCTGAATATGAAAGAGATTTGGAAACAATATGGAGGCAAACAAGTAATTGATAAGTAATTAACATGTATTCACATCTATTCAAATGATTAAACCTTTGGATGAATAAACCTCATAAGATACACCTGGAAACATCTCAAATAAAGTGTCAGTGAGAGAGCACAAATTACACATAACACTATTGCTTTTCTTAGCTATGAAAAGTCCTTATAAAAAGTTTAAAGCAGTCAATTCAATTAAATTTTATTTATATAGCGCCAAATCACAACAACAGTTATCTCACAGAGCTTTTCATAGAGAGCAGGTTAGACCGTACTCTGAAGTTATTTACAGAAGCCCAACAATTCCTATGTAATTGTACTCAAGGATACATTATTTCCTACTTTAAGCTGCAAACTTTCAGGATTAAAGTCTTTTCTCCTCCAGATAAGAGTGAAGATTTCTTTCAAAAGGCAAGGCACTTGCACATCGCTCAGCAGCAGGAAGGAAAATCCCTCCGGAGTCAAAGACGTTCACAGAATGACATCAAATCTTTCCATGGGAATCTCCTTCTGTGCCACACAATTAGTTAGACAAGTATTCTTCAATCATTTCGATTCTGTCTGGTTACACTTCATTCAAATGACTCACAGCAGGAGACAAAAAGTCTCTCTGTGTGTGGTGCGTGAAAATGCATGGATTCTGAGTGGGGGTGTGATGGAGGCGGATCTATTCTAAAGAAACAGCGCCAAAGGAAGCGTAGTCACAGTTACTTCAAAGTTTCATGAAAGCTTTTTGGATGCACAGTCCTCCAGAGTGGCTCTGTGGTTATTGTGAATGATTCTGATATGTCTGACAGGCATTAAAGGCTGTGTCTGTCCCCACTTTTTTGTTTCTTATAAGCATTTAGTAACTTTCAACATTTTACACCTGTATTTGTGCAAGATGTGTCGCGTCCCATGTGAGGTAAAGCTGTCTCTGGGGCCCACTATAAACCTAAATTCCTCCTTTATCCATGACCAATTTTCCTTTGCATTTCCCCACTGAGTGACTAAAGAGTGGAACCAGCAGTCCTGCAAGACCGAGACCACAGCAATCCATGTAATAAGTGATCTAGAATAGAGCGGAACAGCTCCACTGAAGTTGTCTGAAATATTTGACCTTTCCATATGAATTTGAATTATCTGCTGAGTCAGTGAGGATTTCCTTTTGTCAGAGTGTCCATTATGGAGGGTGGCACAGTTGTCTTTCCACACAGGGCAAAGTGGCTTTGGATATTATCTTTAACATTTGCATGCACACTTGTGTGTGCTCCCATTCGTGAAAGCAGAGGGAGATGAAAGCAGTGACATCAAAGCCAAAGAATGTAGCAGCTGTGCTATTGGTCTTAGATTTATCTTCATGAGAGAATCACGTCACCCAAAGTCTTCGGGTTGCTTCAGATCTGGGTAAACTGCAGCAAGATGCACCGGATTGAAGAACAGACTCTTGCTGATCTTTTTGGGTGGTTAGAGTAAACGTTTCATGATAGTGAGCTGGACAGATTGAGATAACAATAGGTTCAATGGTTGTGGTTGTGTTGTTTTTCATTCCATCAAAAAGGGACTGGAAACTCGCTTTCTTATCACCCTAATATCCCTGTACAACAGAAACTCTCAGAGGAAACACAAATAGTAATGTTGTAGATGATAAAAAAGACCACCGTTGCTTAAGAATTTCAGACAGCTAAAACTCCTGATGTCATTTTCAACCTATTTTCCATACTGAGGCATATCAGGAAGGGATAACTTTAAGTCAAACAAGAGCAGAAAAAACGACAGGAAACAAGTCTTTCAATGTTCAGTCGGTTTTTCAGAGGTTCACATTTACTCCAGATTTTCTGTTGCACACAGAAGCCACACTTACTGTGGCAAGAGCAACAGAATCCTAACAGCTCTGCTTTTTAGACAAAGATTATAATAAAACGGTGGAACACAAGATTTCCTATCTGTTGACTAGGTTGTTAAAAGCTCATTTAACTCAAAAACAAAGTACTTTACACCTCCATCAGCCGAAGTTCTATGGAGTGCTCACATTCAAACAAACTGCTTGACTTTTAAAGTTGCTGCTGTATGTGAGAAGGATATCTCGCAGTGATCTCTCACTCTGCATGTTTCAAATGACTCACCACTCTCACTGCTTCCCTGTCTCTGTCCCTTTGTCACTCCGCATCCCTCTTTGCAACATCTGTCATGAGCTGGAAACCAACTGTGCCTCTCCCTTAATTACGTAGCCTTCCTGCCAGCCAGTCAGCTTGTGTTTTCAGGTTCATTAAATCTCATTGCTGCATCATTATAGCAGGTCTGTGCCTCTTATCCTGACTCTTCCTGGTTACCATGCAATGCGACAACACCTGCAGGAAGCATAGAGGGTAAAGCGAGGGCAAAGCTGTGGTTAAAGAGCTACGGAAAATGCCAGCTCAGTCTGTATGGTGGAATGCATGGATTAAGGCCGAGACACGACTCGAATGTCACATTTCTTTGCAATTCTACTCAAACAGAAGCACTTCAGATTAGAAATGGTTCTTTGCAACCTCTCATAGCCTTCATAAGAATAACAAAGTATTCAAATTGGATGGACGGAAAGTGGTCGGGCACTTGTGCACAGACAGTTTGTGACTAACCACTTCACGTTTCCAACCTCAAATAAGCTTTCCCCTTTTAGGACTTCAACTCTTACCTATCCTTTGGTTTCCTCTATCCCACTGTCTTTTATGCTCCGACTTCCTCCAATCTTAAATCCCCCCACCCCCTTCTCCTTTCCCTACTTGTCATTCACTCCTTGTCTCTGTAAGATTAAAACCTAATCTCCTTTAATGGCAGCTTTGCTGTCTAAAACACTATCTGAATGCTTAGTTAATATTTAAAGAGGATATATTTTCTTCTCATTCTCTTTCTAACCTTCGTGTCTCCTTCCTCCTTTCCTCCCTGCTCATCTTCACACTACCCTCATCTATATTTGCCTTCATTTCCATTAATCACTCACTGTAACCTCTTTCTCTGTCTGCATCTTTCTATATCTTCCGCTCTCTCAAACCACACTCTAATCTTTCATAATGATTGTCTGGGTGTCTAAATGCTCTTTAACTGATTAATCAATCCTTAATGAACATATAATAAATACTTTATGAACGCTAAGCCCTGAAATCCCTGGGGGGCTTCATCACACAAAGATATATATACACTTCATCCCCATTTTCATCATGACTGGTGAAAACAACACGCCCTACAGATTAAATGATGATTTCATACTCTGAGGTTGGCCATGGTGTCCAGCTTCTGTTTCTGTCCCAAATACATCTGTATGTATCCAGCCCTGTCAGGATTAACTGTGAAACGGGCACAGAACAGGACTAAGTTTAGTCTGGGTGAATAGCTACAGATTATTCTTTGGTCTGGTTTAAGACTTTTAAATTTTTGTTCATTCGCACAATGTAAATCTTTTAGAGATTCATCAACGAGTAAGCATGGAGAATAATATTTTCTATGTGTCAGACATGAAACAATCCCCTCTGTGTTGAGAAAAACCTTAAAGCATCAAGGGGTGAAGACAAGAGGCTATGCTATGGGAGAGGGGCATGGATATACGGTTGTTGCACAAAAAAAAGGGGCGGGGGGATACCGCGAGAGTTTATGTCAATAGGCATGGAGAATGTTATGAGTATGATGCACATAATAGGAGGGGCTGTATTCTGGCACCCAACACTCAACAAAATGTTGTTAGATTGCACTCCTCACACTAAATATTTTCATATCCACCAACACAGGAAATGGACAAAATGGTGTCCAAGAACATAAGTCAATAGATTCATGAAATTCTCATGAAACCTGCTGAGCGCATGTGTTATTATGTGTGAAGGCAGAGAGCAAACTAAATCTGTCTATATAAGATGCCATTCCCGCCAGCTGTACCGGAAATGGATGACCTCCCAGTCACAAACATCTAAACACAACACCCACTATCACTCAGAGTTGCATTCATCTACCTACGTGTGCATTTCTTTTTGTAAATATTACTGCATTTGAGCCGTAGCTTGTTATTTTCACTGTACATTTGTACTTTGAACATCTCTGGTGATCGGGACTTTACGCAAGACCAGCTAGCTTAGAGTTTACCAGTGCTCCTTTACGCCTTCATCCTCCATGTTAAAACGAGTTATTTAAGTTTGTGTGAAACAAACTGCTTCGACCGACAGCTTAAATTCTTCAACAGCGTTTTTTTTCTTCTCGCGGTTAACTGGCTCGTTGTAAGGAAGCCTCTAGCATGATTGAAATATCAGCACAAGAAAAAAAAAGAAAGAGATTTTTCAGCTGTGAATATCCATTAAAAGGGAAGTGGCTCAGAGAATGCCATAACTCTTAACTAAGTGAGAGACAACAATTCAATGGCTGATTCATTTTCAACATGGATAATAAATTCCTTCACCTTCTGGCTTCAGAGACTCGAACTTCACACTTCACAATACTAGTTTGAAGCTCATTTTCAGATAGAACGGGGTATGCATACAGCAAGCATAGGATCATTGTATTATAGTTGCATGTGCAGTTATAATAGCTTACATATATAGAAACGCTTTGGCTTCTTTTTGGAGTTTTGCACTCCTTTGGACTGTCCCCTTTTGCTCATGGCATTGCATTTTCAATGTGGCTCCAACCCCTCTCATTCCATCTTTCTCATTTTTCACTCACAGTGTCTCTACCGCGTATTAAAAGGCCAGTAATTTATCACAGTAAAGTCCGGGCAGAGACCAGTCCTTGGTGCACATCAGTCTGCAGGCTGCCCGTCTCCTAGCCGTCCATGGCTGGAAATCAATCACCCAATCCTGAGACGCTGGAACCATCCAAAAGGGCCAGCCGAAGATATGAGAGAGAGAGCGACATGTATGCAGAGAGAGAGGAAGAAAGGATGGAGGAGGAGGACAAGCAAACAGAGAGGCCC